TATTATTCGAGAGGTCTCGCCCTCCGATCGTTCTCATTCTGCGGCAACGAAATCGAAACACTCGGCTCTTTTATTAACACACTCTTCCGATGCGGTTCTTTTTTATTTTTCCCTGCTAGAAGTACTGTAGTACCTCGAACTTTTTATTTCGCACGCCTATATAAATAATATTGTTTCGACAACTTTTTTAAATTTTATTTTTAATTAGCACCACAATAAATTTATTCGTTTTTTTATCAAAATGCGGGGATAATAAAAAAATTTTTGCCTTTGTGAAAAATTGTTCCGCTCCAAAATTTATTTCACAAAGGGGGAACAAAGAGGGAAAACAAACGCACAACGATAATCGTACAAATGACTTTGATATTTCATAATTTAATTTTGCTTTATAACGATTGGACGCGGGCACGCGTATAATAAAAACTATGGTATAATATTCCCATATAATTTTGCTGGCGTAAAATGAATTGCCTTTGATGTGTGTCCCGCGTTCTTTATTGGAATCGTTGTTCCCTTTAAATCAGCCGGCATATATAAATCCACACAATTTCTCGCGTCGCGTAATAACCTCGACGTGGTGCTATCAAGGAGGGCGGCTTTAAAGATTTTTGCCCAGGCACGGAAACTCACACACGCAAGGGGATCGGGTTTCCGAGCTATCTTATCCCTTTGCCGTTTCCGTCTCGTCGCGAGAGATCTTCGACGATCGCGCAGCCGGTTTCGCTCGCGTGACTCACCGCCGCACGCGGGGGTTGAAGCCGGGTTGAAGGTGGTCGCCCCCTCGGAAAACAGCGCCACTCGCTACTTCGACGTCCGATATTTCGACTCTCTATCTACAAGGCCCCCACAAGGGAGGGATTGCGTGGGATTAGAAATGCCCTCACGACCCCGGCATGCATTATAGATGCTCGCGCCTTAGATTAGAGGAGGCGGTGGGCGTGCGGCGCGCGCGCGCGCGCGGTTCCCGGCAAAAATAGTCCACTCGTAAAGGCAATAGCTCTTACGCTCCGCGGGGCTGTATATTTTAAGCGAGCCGATGCGATGCGATGCATGCGCGGGATAGCGGCGTGACATGTCTGACGTTTTGTTAAAAACTTAAACGAAATACCGAGAAGATAAAATTGATACTGTTACACCTGCGTGCCTTAATGTAACAGAGAGAAGATTCTTTTTTTTTTTTTTTTTTTAGTAGATTGTTATTTGAAATTTCTTTGCTCCGAGCAAGCAAGTTGCTACGAGAATACTATGACAGATCTAGACAAAAGAATGTACATTAATATAATTATTATATTACATACCTCTACAGTCTGTGTAATATCAGTATCTTATAATACTTTGATAGAAAGTATTTTATAACATAAAAAAAGAAACCTTCTCTCTTTTACTCTTTTAATTAAACTTTCGATACTTTTAATGAGCAAATTTTTAAAGATTTTTTTTTACTATACTGGATTATAAAAGGAGAAATATTAAAAAAGTATAGCAAACGACAGCTATCTGCACTCCGCGGTTATTAAGACGTCGCGGCTGGCGAATACTGGCGAATAGACGTATACATTAATAGCTATCCATTTGCGGTGAGCAATTATAAAGATGTGGCATCTAACGGGCTGCGGAAGGAAGCGCAAGGGAAAAAATGAACGGAGGAAGAGGCTTGTTAAATACTCTGAGTCTATATCATCTCTATATGGCGTGTGTACAGAGCGTGAAATACTAACAAGCGACCATCATCATCATCATCATCAAACAATGGAAACTGGCACGAAGAGAGAACACATTTCAGCACAGTTTAGCTCTATCAAGACCTTTTAATAGTTCCAGTACCACAATAAGCTAGGGAAATCAAATATCTTAGCATTAGAAAACTCGTGCATACGCGCTTCCAGAATAGTGCCAAAATAAGAGCAGCTGCGAAAATAACACTTCATCGAACAGTAAATCGATGAAAATTCGTTAACGTCACGGAAACGTGACGTGGAAAATCGCGTTATATATCTAAGAGAAGTACAAAAATATAAGGAGGTAATTTTATGTTAACAATAATAAAACGAGATGTCCTCTCCTTTCCCCACGCGATAAGTTCTGCTGTAAGTGCCATTAAAAATTCTAGCCGCGCCACCGCGACGAACAGAAATTCCCATTTCGCGCGACGATAAGGCGAGAGCAGCTTCTAAATCCCGCATCCTGTCTCCGCGGCCGACGCTGATAATAACAATAATGGATGCCCTCATCTGCAATTACAATAAGCAGTTAGCGGACTATAAATCACAAAGTGGTCCGCCCGCGCGATGAAATCTTTCTTTCCGCACGTACCATCGCGGAATAAGGAAACTTCTTTCTCGCCCCGGCAATTCCGAGGGATCGTCCTCTTATTCCGGAAGTTAACGGCTTGCGGGGGAGGAGAAGAGGCGGTTTTGCGACCCGAGGACTGGCTATTTAATTAGCGGCGAACCGACGACTCGACGCAACGCGGATAAAGAATCTTCGGTCTCAAATGACGACTCATCTCCGAACTGATGCACAGAACGAATCCCGATAATTAGTTGTCATAATAAGCGGTTGGGCAGAGAGAAACCCCGAGTTGAAAAAAAAAAACGCGACCGAAGAAGTAGATGCCGTTCACGCTTCGTAAAACTTTAGTACGGTGAGTTTTGTCCGGCTACGGTTGCACGAATGCCAGCAGTAATTCTATAAATAAATCGATACCATCTGTATTATCGAATGCATTTATCAACAGAACTTTTTGTGATTTCAAACTTATCGCGGACTTGTTCGCCGAAGATCATTGTCTCTGAATCTTTTATTAATAACATGTCTTTTATTAATAACATTAGGAAATGTATTTGTAAAATATTTTTGTCTACAAAATTATACGTTAACATTATGCTCAGAAAAAGCTGCTTTCTAAAACAATAATCAATTGTGACGGAAAATATCATAATTCATAATCAATTCTATAAGTTAGTACGATAACATGAATTATAATTGTTCAGATCCGGTATATCTTGATTATTAAATGAGTTATTGATTATTGAGTTTTATTTTAGGATTACTGTCTTAATCAGATTTACTTTCTGATTACAAAAATTTAGATTAAAATTATTGACAAAAATTGATTTTTACTTCTTCATTAATTAAATAGGATTTATCAAATGCAACTATTTCTATAATTTTTTTAAATATATGACTTATTGAAATCATCACTGGATACCTAGAAGCAAAAATGCCATACTTAAGGTGTTTCGTAGTATAGCAGGTTCTTTGCCTACATAAAATCGTGTGAGTTGATTCAAACTTTTGAAACTTAAATTCTCTTCCTTTACCACAAGATGGACATAGCGTTAAGTTTATCATACTTGACGAAATAGTACAACGGGTTGCTATTTGACAGGAAAATTCACTGAAATTTACTTATTCTATATCTATATCATTTTGATGATCTATGTAAATATTTTAAATTATCCATCGCAAAAAATTTTAAGTAATATAATAATAAGAATGAAAGATTTTGAACCGTAATTTTTTCTCAGAATTGTTAATGTGAAATAAAAAAATAAAAATATTTAAATAAAAATAAAAAATAAAAATAAAAAATTTTTAAATATATATTAATAAACACATTTAAAAAAAGATTATAATTAAATGGAATTTAATTCAATATGAAGATCGAATCTATCAATATTGATATTGTTGAAATAAAAATTAAAAAATTAAATTGATTTATTTTGTTTTTAAAATCAATTTATTAAGTCTTTATACAAGAATATCAAATTTTATTGAAAGTAATTACATTATAAAAAATTAATTTACATATTTATGGAATATTACATTATTTGTTAATATATGACAAAATAGAGAGATTTTGTAAGCTTGAGTTATATCTATTACATAAGATAATAATGTCGGAGCTTCTTTTGTAAGAGTGGTTAAAATTTTAATTAACAACAAGAAAGATTACAAGATTAACAAATATATACCATTCTTTTTCTTCATTGTTATAAACAATGTTTTTGCTCGCAAAACCGATGGTGCGAATACTATTCTACTAAATAATTATATGACTGCTACTCGATTGTGTGAATAATTAAGAAATAATATTAGGGATAATATAAAGTATAGCACCTGTGTGTATGTGTGTATGTGTGTATTTCAAAAATTGTGACTTGAAAATGTGCCAATTTAAAAAAAAAGACACATGAGTCTAATTATAAAATAGATAATAGAATACTATAGAGAAGCGATATATTAAAAAAATTAGAAGAGCCAAGATTGAACGAAATTGAATGAATACATCTTTAGGTCAATTAAATCAATGTCTCTTGTAGGTAACGATATTTTCAGGTCGGAATTACCTTATACATATATCATATATACAGAGAAACATCTTTTCGTACATAAAATATATTATATTTTTACCTATATTATTCGACCTACATGCGTCACACGCATGACTCAATATGAATCCGCGATCAGAATTGTATATAATAAGTAATATTGAAACTAAAGTTGAAATGGTATTTTTTAGCGATGAATAGTATAAATCTTCTTAGAAAGGAAAATTTTCAAGTGAAATGATTATAACGGAATCGCAATAATTTATTCGATGCGTTACGTAAGATAAGCGTGATCACGGGGGGAGGGATCATTATGCGGAAGTATTAACTTGGTAAATGATACAAGGGAACACGAGGATAAGCGTGTTCCGGACGTACCGGGTGTGCAGGAAGTTGCATTAAATTTATCCGCTTATGTATACGAAGGTATACTTTTTACTACTTCAAGCCCTTCGAAAAATATCGTATCAAACTAAAAGAGTTCCATAGTTAGTTTTACATTAATATTTATCTCCAAGTCGTAAGCCTACTGTTAGACTCGAGGTAGCGTGTCAGCTTGGAATTGCATAAAAGTAGTTCTTGAAGAATGACGTAAAACGTCACTCGCTTTCACCATTGTCTCTTTATCACCGCCGCCACTCTGCCGACCTCTTTTCTCTCTCTTTCTCGGTATTTCATTCGATAAAGCGCCGATAATTTGTCATTAATGGCCGATCCTTCCAGGACGAAAATGTTGTAGGCGCTCTTTCTTCTAAGAACAGGATGAGCTCGCTATAACGAGTGAAACTCTCTCGAGTCGATTGTCAAGTATAGCGGCAATCGTTACGCTCGCCAAATATTTCAATCTGTTTTTTTTTCCGATTTTAACAATTTTTCGGAAGCATTACGTAGGAGAAATATTGTATTCGTTACTGGCGCCGTCGCTCGTCCTAACGAGCACTAGAATCCTGATTTTTCTAGGAATCGTCGTTTGTAATTTTCAGATGAAGCCGAAATCGTGATTCGAGAGCTCTCAGGTTCACTCTCAATTCCTCTTGCTGGAATTGATGAGATACTTGCAGCAGTGCGTGAGCAGATGCTTCTCACCGGTGACGTCATGCTGAGCGGCGGGTGAGGCGGATTCCCTGGTGTAGACGTCCAGGCCGTACTGGCCCTCCTCGGGGAAGCTTATGGAAAAGGTGACCACGTCGTCGTCGGCGATGGAATGCGTCACATACTTGGACAGGCGCTTCTCCTCGATGCCGTTCTTATGCAGAGTCGCCATAAAGTCCGTCAACGGCCTCGACATGCGAAATTGAATTTCCAGCTCGCGCCCGGCGAACACCAGAGCTTCCTGAAATCAATAGATCGCGCGATTATAAATAGCGATTGTAAATCGCCTGCCTGGTAAGCGCGATAAAATCGAAAGATTCTTTTCTTAGCAATTCTTTTCGCTCTTCTCTTTCGGTTAATACTTCCCAAAGGAAAAAAGAGCAGAAGGGAAATTTATTTTTGTGAACCGGAAACTTTACAAAACTTTGCCTAAAATAACAAATAACAAATAACATTGCGCCATGTTCGATAAAAGTAGAGAGATTAATTTATATACTGTTTCCGAATTAAATAAATCTTTGTTTATCTTTTGCGTATGCGTAACAATATTATTATTTTTTTCTATCTCAATTAAGCGGCTTTATCTAACATTGTAGTATTAGATTTCCATATGTTTATTAACTTGATTTATTCGGAATATATTTAAAAAACAAAAATCTAGATGTATTTCTGAAAAAACCACTCTGTATAATTTGTGCTCGCACTTTTGTTGTAACTTAACTGTACAAGTAGACCAATTTAACTGATCGACCTACCTGATGAGTGATAGGTATAAGTCCAAATAGCCTGGTAGCTTTTGTAGGGCCCCATTCTCCACTGGCGCAATCCGGCAGTGGTACCATCACCGTCTGCAGCTCTTCACACGCGATTTTGAATTTGCAAACGCTCTTGAACTTCATCGGCTCGCCAGTTAAGTATTCTTTCGGCGTTACCGCATTGGCAAATATGTCCAAGAGGAAAGCCCCGGAACATGGTGCGTGAACTCGGAACGCAACTATATTCCCCACAACCGACTAAAAATTTTCGTAGAAAAATTTCGTATTTCGTAAATTTCATTTATTATAATTGTTGACTCATAAAAACCACATGTTTTTATTAAAAACATTTTATTAAAGTTTAACACGATTGTGAAGTATGTCTTTCACAAAACATGTAACTTAACAATGCTTTACTATATATTCCAATATTATTATATAACATTTATAAAAAAATATATATTATAAAAAAATTAGTAATATTAGAATATATAGTAATAATTTTTCAAATTGTTATATGCAAAAGTTTTAAGAATTAATTAAAATTAATTTTCATTTCTTTATTTTTTAGATTTAAAATAGATTAATGATGTTTTGATTAATCTTTTTTACGCAAATTTCAAGATATGATTTGTTTTATGTAAATTTCGTTATATATTTTAGGATCAAACTTAGGATAAGATTTAAGTCGCTTCAAATAAATCATTGCGCGAATACGATATGGAGGACATAGACTATCAATTTACCTGCATGACAAATCGCTTGAGCGACACGCCGTCGTAGCCATCGCCGTCGTTGTCATAAAACTTAAGATTGTAATGAAAGATAAGGGATGATTGCATATGCGCCGGCATTGCTATCCTCACGGTCGCAGCACCGGTGGAATCCGTATACATAACGGCATTTGTATTCGTATCCGGAAAATAAAGGCCGTACCTGTAGACGCAGAATTTATCCGAACGGTATTTTCACCGTGCAACTTGTGACCATTGTTAATAGACCAATCTCACCACTTGCGGGAAATCATCAATTTAATTGCGTGTTTTAACGGCTTTTGAACACGCTTGACTGAACGAATTTAATTTGTCAAGACCTGATATATATTGCAAGTTACTTCTATCACTCAATTTAAAATAATATATAATTAATAAAAATATATAAATAATATGACAGCGAATAAATTACACACACACACACACACACACACACACACACAATAGAACAATAAA